CAAAGTCTTCTACACAGCAACAAAAGGTATGTCCTTGTCTTAGGTGGGCTGAAGTGTGAGTCACAAGTCTCTGAATCTCCCCATGCCTCGAATCCCTATGAAGTCACAGGCAAGTTCTAGGGCTTTCTTTCCAGTATGATTTTTTTTCTAAAATGTATGACTTGGCTGTTCTTCAAATTGGAATTCTTCTATCAACGAAATTTGAGAAATGCTTTAAAAAGTTATGCACTGAGTGCTGGCAATGTAGTGACGGGGAAATCATCCAATGTCTGAACTCTTCTGAGTTGTGGCAGGCTGGAAGGTCAGAGAAAAGACAGCATAGATCATGTGAGTTCTCGTGGGTCTTGATAGAGTTTTGGCTTTTATTTCTAATAGTCTGTGGGAGTCAGATTTCCATAAGTGTGCCAAATTGCCCAGGATAATACACTTATACAGAGAAAGGTTTCTTTTGGCTCACGGTCTTGGAGGTTCTAGTCCTCGATCCATTGGTCCAATTGCTTTGGGCTTGTGGCAAGCAACAGTATGGAGAAAAAAACCCAAATGGTAGATGGAATGAAACCTTACTGGCTAGAACACGAGAGACAGGGAAAGGGACTAGGACTCCATAATTCCCTTTAAGAACATAACTCTAGTGACCTAAAAATGACTCTTGAGACCCCACTTCTCCAAGGCTTTGTTATTTCCAAAATAGGATTATCCTTCAATACCAAGACCTAAGGGAGTCAAGCAATGGATACAGCTTGCCTTGGGTAGTTGGGCAGTTTTAAGCAGCTTTCATGTAGTGCATACCGGAATACCATAGGTCTCAGAAACTTCTGGAAAAAAGAAGTGTGCCAAGTTTTGTCTAACCCAATTCTATCCCATGTTATTTAACTTCAAATGCGTGTTAACATATCCAGAACACAGATTTGAACTTAAGAGGATTCCTTTGCCTGTTCTAACGTCTCTACAGTCATACAGTTTTGTGGCCATGCTTCTCCCCGTCCCTATTTTCGATTCACAGGAATCAATGGATTTCTTCCTACATGTTAGGTTACTCAAACTGCTACAGTTAATAGACTTGACGAGTATATTTATTTACTGTCCCAAAAAAACCAACTTATTTCTTTTTGACCCTGAAAAATAAAAGTGTGAAAAACTGAAATTATTTATGTAAGAGGAAAACAGATCTTAAGAGCTGCTTTTTTTTTTACATTTTAAAATTAACTTAAAAATTTTAATGCACTTATTAATTAATCTTCAGTTTGTATCCAAGCTTGTTTCTTCTTGACGTGACTGCAGTACGGGACCAGGGAGTCACAGGCATCCCTCTGCGTATTCAGTCAGGGACCCAGGCTGCGGGGAACCTTGTTATTTCCCATGTGTGTTTTCCTGAACTGCTTCACTGACTCATCCTCACCCTACTCAGACAGGAGAGCGGAAGAGAGAGAGAAGTTCACAAACGCTGCGGAAATTCACTGCTTGCCCTTAGGAGCCAAGGAAAATCGAGCACGTGACTCCAGCTGCATGCTTGCCGGCTAGGCGAAGCAGTTTGGGTGTATAACTCCTCCCACTGACACACGATACCGCGGAAGGCCGCATAAATTCTGAAGACAGCCACATATGTCTATGAAACGCCTCGGTACTTCTAGGTCTTTAAAGGAAAAATTAGTTTTAATGTGTTCATCTTTGTCAACTTCATAAATATATCGCGGCAGCGCAGGTCTAGATTACGTGTGTAGTAAATGTTTGCTGAATTAAGCAGAAGCTGAACTACTAAAACTCACACATCTTTGGAAAGGATTGGGGCCGCCACCAGAAGGCAGAACAAGACAGAGGTCGTGGGACCTCGGTTCCAGGGAGACAGCCATTTGCAATGCAAGCGGCCAAGACTGAAGTTTAAATTTGCCCCACGATCTATCTAAAGGAGGTCTCAGGCAAAGCAGAGGTGGACAATGACAGGGAGGAGGTTTTGCAGGGGCTTATCTGCAGATGAGGAAAGTCCCTCTGTAGCTCTTCACTGTGGTGGTGACCCAGAGCCTTCAGAAGCCTCCTAATCCCGTCAGACATTTTCTGGGCCATAAATCACGCTGCCAAGTGATGAGCACTAAATCAATAGAACTTCCATGTTTTGAAAAAGTGAAGAGATGCATCCATGACCCTGCTGAGGGAAGAGAAAGCACTGTTTACTTAACCCGATTCCGACTCAGGCTTGGAGGCCTCTGGGCTCCCTGGAAGCCCTTTTGCTCAGGTGGCGCCAGGGGAAAAGCTAAACTCAGCAGTCCTAGGACACCTGATTTCTCTGTATTATTTTGTCCTGGCTCTGGTTCGTTCTGCGATCGGAACTGACGACCGAGGTTTGCAGTGGCTCCTTCCTACACTGCCGTGTTCTCTCTTCCAAGCTGGAATGGGGATATTTATCGCACGCACACCTCCCCTCCCACGTGACCCTCAAACCCACTTGGATAAACAGAGCGTTTGTGGTGCTTATTCTGTACCTCCAGAAAATTCGAATCCTTGAATGCTTATCTCCTCATTGATGCGATTTTTTTTTTTTTGTTGTTTTTTGTTTTTCGAGACAGGGTTTCTCTGTGGATTTGGAGGCTGTCCTGAAACTAGCTCTTGTAGACCAGGCTGGCCTCGAACCACAGAGATCCACCTGCCTCTGCCTCCCGAGTGCTGGAATTAAAGGCGTGCACCACCACCGCTGGGCTTCATTGATGCGATCTTAAGGCAAAAACAAATAAGCAAGCAACTTCTGAGCAGAAACAGAGAGTTCAGTGCTGTAAGCCTCCCTGCCTTGCCTGTTTATCTCTCTATCCAACAGCAGCTGAATGCTGTGGGGTTTCTCTACTAGAAACATAGGGCGAAAGTGTGGTTTTTGCTTTTCTACAGAACCGTGTCGGGAGAGGCACCAGCAATGAGTCCTCCAGACCCACAGTCTGTGGAGGTAGTCCAGCAAATTTCAACAGGGCTGCATGTAAAAACTGCCCTTCACGGACCAGGGAGACCTAAGTGGGAGAAAGATAAAAATATATGACATAAATGATGAAAGCAATAAAACTCGCTGCTCAATTAGCTGGCTGGAGAAGGTAAGGGGAGTTGGTGACGGAGAGTGTCCACTTGCTCGACAAGGACCTTTGCGTCTCCCCAGCCCTCTTGACTCAGCTGTGGAACTCAGGTTGGTTGGTAATTTTGTAGGAGGTCCATCTACCCACCCAGCCAGCCAGCTCCTTTTCTCATTACTTTAAAGCATTAGCCGGTTAAGTGAAGAATATTCATCATCGTATGCAAATTGGGTTTCTGTTTTGATGGCTGTAAGAGCAAACAGCAGTGTCTACTCCAACCACTGCCGGTAATTTACTGTTCTTTCTTTTCCCAGCATACCCTAAGAAGCTGCACCGACAGAAAAAATGTTTAAAGTCCATTTGACAACTAGAAACCTATATGAATATATGTGTGTGTATGTGTGTGTGTGTGTGTGTAAGCATGTATATTTTATATGTTTAGAATGCAATACACGTGTCTTGACATTAGGCATTTCTGACAGCTACTCTGACCTGACCCTGGAGGGTATTCTAGGAAATTGAGAAGTAGGGCAAAATTAGATGTGCCCCAGAAAATGTGGCTGGTCATTGAGAAAGAGCAAATTTCTATTTAGAGGAACTGGTATATGCTAATAACCATTTTCGAATTTTTCCAATCTGATCTAAATTACCCCTAGTACTTCCAAGGTCTAGATACCTAATGAGAACAATTATTTCTGGATTTCAATTAAATTGAATTAAAGAAATATTTTATTTGTTTTTATTTGGAATTTTTATTATAAAAGTAAGATAGCCATATTATAGAGAATATGAAAAATGTATTTGGAGACTGAGATTCCCATAATTCCCTGCTTTAAGGAGACCAAAGCTCTGGCCTAGACTGGATGTAGCAGCGTTGTCTCTCTTATCGATTGCGTCTGCCTGTGTTATCAACAGAGTGAGCACATGTTCCCATTTGCTTAGGACATTTCCAGGTCAAGTCTGTTTCCCGGCACAGTAATTAATAGTGCCCTCTTACCTTAAACGGGAGCCCCTGTTTGAATGAAAATTTAAAAGTTCACCCTAATTATTGGTATTATCTTCAATGTATAATTTACTTCAGGAAAAAATATTTTAACCTAACATTCCACCTTAGGTGGATTAATTTGGTTAAAAATAAATGACAGAGCACATAAATACACTGAGTAGTTGCAATAGCCATACTATAGCACGAGGGTCTGCAACCAGATATGTGAGTGAGGTTCACACTGGCTACCTTTCCTTAGGTAGATGTCGACTCAGCCTTCAGGGACACCATGTGCCACTCGTGACTCAGGGCTGTCTGGCCTTTACCTTAGGTGAAGAATCACCTAGTTTGTGAGTAGAAAACAATTAGATGCTCACTAGAGCACTCACTTGGGTAGATTGCCTCACTTCAGTCTTCTTAAAGCTCTGCCTAAGTCCTGTCTCTATCCACAGGGCTTAGCATTGTGTCTGGACAGGACTGGGGAATGAAGTGAGAGACCCGAATGAATGAAATCCAGGTGAAATGCAGGTCTGGACATGATGGAGAGAGATCTATTGTGCATCTCTTACCCATCCCTGGGCTTTGTTTTTATAAAGATCTATTTTATATTTTCAAGTTATGCATGTATGTGTGTGCACACGTGCACGCGCGCATGCATGCGTGCGTGCGTGCATGCATGCGTGCGTGCGTGCGCACAAACACATGTGTGGAGGTGCCATCAGAGTCCAGAAGACGGCGGCAGATCCCCTGGAGTGGAGTTACAGGTCGTTGTGAGCTGCCTGCTGTGGGTTCTGGGAGCTGATCTAGGGTGGATCCTCTTCTAGAGTCGTATGAATTCTTAAACATTGGGCCATATTTCCAACTCCCTGACTTTTGTTTTTCTAAAATATGGTTTTAAAAAGAAGAATTAACGATCTATGAGTATAGCAGAATATTATTAGGAATCACTTTATTAATTTTTTTTCCTTAAGTCTCTGGATTATTTAGCTCCTGGTCATTTGGGCAGTGTTCGACATGAGCTCCCTTTCATGGCATGGGCTTCAAATTAGACCAGTCATTGGTTGGCCACTCTCACAAGTTCTGCACTTCCATGACCCCAGCTCAGGTTTTGTGGCTGGGTTGGTGTCCCAGTCCCACCCTGGAAGTTGCCTGGTTACAGAAGATAGCAGGACAGGTTCCATCATCAGAGAGGCTTCCTTCCGGCAGCTGATGGGAGCAGATGCAGCAGATACCCACAGCCAAACAGTAGGTGGAGAGAGAGATCTCCATCAGGTCTCTCCTCTTGGAGTGCTGGGAACTCCTCAGAAGAGGGAGAAGAAGAATTATAGGAGTCAGAGGGGTCAAGGACACCAGGAGAAAATGGCCCACAGAATCAACTAAGCCCGAATCATAGGAGCTCACGGAGACTGAAATGCCAATTACAGAACCTGCACGGGTCTATGCAGGTCCTCTGCGTGTATGTTATGTCTGTCAGCTTGGTGCTTCTGTGGGACTTCTAACAGTGAATGTGGGGGTGTAGCTGAAGCTTTCGCCTGCTCTTGAGACCTTTTTCCTCCTACTGGGTTGCCTTGCCCAGCCCTGACATGAGGGCGTGTGCTGATCTTCTTGTATCTTGTTACACCATGTTGATATCCCTAGGGTACCTCTCTTTTCTGAAGGAAAATGGAGGAGCAGTAGGTCTGAGGTCAAGGGGAAGTATGTGTGGTGGGGGGACAGAACTGGGGAGAGTGGAGGGAGGGGAAACTGTGGTTGGGATGCATTTTATGAGAGAATAAAGAAGAAAAGTTACCTAAAATGTCCTCATGCAATGGGACTATGGAATCTTGATCACCAGCAAAGCAACCATCACACACTGAATTCCTGGTAAACTAGATTTCTGCTATCCACTGACTCATATCTAATGACCCCAAGGGCCTGAAGAAGAAGAGATGTTTGGTCTGGGAGGATAGATCAGTGGGTAAAGTGCTTGCCACTCAAGCATGAGGGCTATGAGGCAGTGTGGGTGTGCATTTCTGGTGGAGGTCAGTCAGGGTCAAGATGTCTTCTCCATCACCTCTAGCCCTGACCAACCTGGCCACAAGTTCTAGAGAGCATAGCTTCAAAACCAGGGAGGACCACCCAACCTTTACCAGATTCTGAGAAAGTAAGACCTGCGTGTTATGTTAACTCACTGAATATTGAGGTATTGTCTGGCAACAGCTCTCCTGTCCTCAATTAGTCTGACAAAAGAGAGGATGAGAGAGAGGAGAAGGAAGGGGTAAGTTTGAAAGCATGTTTGCCAGGATTTAAGGAACAAGGGTATTGAAGAAAGAGCAAATAGACCCAGAAAGCCTGGGAGGACACATCAAGGTTAAGGACATCTGGAGGGCCATCTGATATTGGGCAAAGGGATGGTAACAGGAGAACACAGTTTACAAGCTGGGGATGGGGCTCAGAGCTGGAGGAGAGAGCATAGAGTCGGGAGCAATAGCTATAAAATCTGTGCTAAGGAGAGCATTACAGAGAGATTACCTAAACCTGGCTGAATTTGGGCGTGTCCTCAAGAAAGCTGGAAGGGATGGAGAGGGCCTCAGAGAAGTGATCAAGGAAATGAGATGCTTGTGTAAGAAGAAATTAAGATGATTGGCACTCCACAGCCTGGAAACACAATTCTAAGGAATGTGTGATTAGAGGGTTTCCTTCATGAAGGGTCTAAGGGTAAAAAGATAGTCTGGCTGCTAAAACTTGCAAAACTCTGTAAATGAGCACTTCCTTAAGCCCAAAAGACACATTTTAAAAATAAAGAACAGGAACACTATATACAGTTTTACTGCTCTGACTTCAGGCTCCAGAGGCCCTATGTTCCAGGTAGCAAGGTAATCATTGGTGGGATGGGGTCTGGGGGGGGTGACACAAAAGTAGCAAGATGATGACTGCTGGGATTGGCTTCCTAAGAGGTCACACAGACAGACAGTACCCAGAAGCAAGAAAGGATTGCTCAGGGTGGAAAGATGACAGAGTTTGGATTGCCTTTTAAGCTCCTGGCAGCAGTTGTGAACATGACAGCGTCGAGCCACCCAATGGTGTGTAATAGTTTCCCTGTATTAGAGATCCCAGAGGTCCCGTGTTCCAAGGCAGCACGACTTCAAGACAGAGAATGGAACATACATTCCCTGACTTCCCAGGGCTTATGGTGTGGTGGACTGCAGAGATACTGTTTATTTAGTTATTCTGGTAAGTGCCTTTACAGACAGGCACCGGAGGTCAAGGCAGCATCCAGAGGGACTCAGCTAATCTGGAAGAGTGAATGAAGGCTGTTTTGGAAGTCTTACAGCGAAAGCAATAAGAGTTAGCAGGCAAAGAGAGAACATGAGGGGAGTCAGTCAGGAGAGAGGTATGGGGCCAGTTTTCTTGCTCTCTTGTCAGGTGTTTTGGGTTGCTATAACAGAATATCTGAGACTGAGGGATTCATAAAGAACAGAGTTTTGATTCTGTTCAGAATTACAGAGGTCAGGAAGACCAAGAACCTGTTGAGGATCTTGTGACAGTATCTTATGTGTCAGAAGGCAGAGAAGGCAAGCATAGTAGGGCTGAACTTGCGTTTACAATAAACCAGCTCTCAAGATGTCAACTTCTTCCACTAAGAAAACATTAAGCCATGTCAGAGAGAGGAGATTGTGTTGCCTACTTACCTCCTATTGGGTCCAACTTTCCAACACTATTGCATAGGGGGGTGGAGTTCTAACGCATGATATACGCAGGGCTCAAACTATAGCAGCCTCTTGATGCTACGTTTCCCTTGCAGTAGTATGTGCTCTTGGCGGCTCATGTGGGGCAGCTCCACACACTCCAGGGTGACCTTGAGAATTGGCTGTAACAGCTCCCACCTGCCCTCTCAGAGAATTCACTTTTTGCTGGCACAGTCACGCCATCTGAAAATGGCAAAGGATAGGTGACCTTCCATTCCACCTTCAGTGGGCAAAGCCGAAGGCTGATCACCAAAGCAGGCACGTGTCAGCCCTTTTCAGAATCTTGCTGTTAGCTAACTCCAGGAAAGATGTGATATCAGGTTGCATCCAGACTTCAGCAATATATGTCTTGGTTGTACCTCTTTCTTCGCCTTCTCTTGAGTCATCTCCTGAGGTGATCCCTCCAGTCATTTACCCCTGTGCCTCACCCTGAGATTGAAGCTGGTAGTCTCACCCAGGTGGCTACCACAATTGAAACTATTGGCTTAAATGACTTCGGCTGTGCACAGATAGCCATGCCCTGCAGGAGCACTGACCTGGGATCCCACAGTGCTGGCACATGTAACATGTTGAGACATTTCTCGTGTACCTGAGTACCTTGTTTTGTGCAAGAATTTAATTATACCACTTACAAAGTACATGCACATCCTTTGCAAGGTGGTAGGAACAATCTTATCCCATACCTCATGGTCCAGATGCAGAAAGCCAAGACCAGGTGGGTGTCATGACCTGCTCAATCTTACCCATGAGTGTTGCCAGGACTCAGAACTGTGGCTTCAGCCACCATGCTGTTTACCCACTTTTAATGGGTGCCCCTGTAACACCAAAGCTCAGGACTCGGTTCACCTGCTGTGGTGTGTTTTTAGTGGACAAATACATTACCTGTGTAAGTGCACTTGTCAAAGAGCTGTTTTCTTTCCTCCAAGCCAATGGAGATGCACAGGGTTCTTCTTACTTCCGAGATGCCGCGCTCCCTTCTGAAGTTCAAAAATTAAAAAAGTAGAAATTCTTTTTAAGATGCAGCTATTGTGTAAGAAATTCAAAGGGGAAAGATAATAATACCGCTGGGTATTATTTCAGACTAGGAATTAAAGAAGTCCCGGAGAGCCAGAGTCTCCCTAAATCATCTGCGGAAAGGGGCCAAACACCTTGAGAAAATGTGTCCCACCCATCCCCTCCCGCTGCAGAGCATTGAGAACAGAGCAACCTGGTTAGGGACCTCCTGGCCCTGGAATTCCACAGGCAGCATAAAGGATGCTTCAGCATTTGTGTGATGGCCTCCCGATTTTTTTTCCTTGTCTCCAGGCACACAAAACAGGACTTTCATTTCTGGAGAGTTAATTTCCAACAGCAGCTTAGTCTCCATCTGAAGTCACAATCCTCTTTGGAGAAGCAATTGGTTATTGTGTAAAGGATTTCGAAGTTACATGCTAAGGATTATGACTCTATTTGGAGTGAAGAAGCAGTGTCAGGAGAACTCTTAAGTACCATATACTCAGTTTTGATGAAAGTGTTCCTCGCGGAGATAAGGGAGAGAAGGGCCAGCAAAATGCATGATGTTGTACCAGGTAGGGACTGCTAATGAGAACTTTTTTCAGACATGCTCTGTTCTTTCCGCCAGTTGAGCCTGGCAGCACATTCCTGCACTGTGTACCTGAGCTTTCCTGAGTTTAGGAGACTCTTTGTTTCCATTGTCTTAACCACCTCATTCCTGCCCTGTCTACCTTAGAGGAGTTCAACACAGAATAAATGGATAAGATGCCGCAGCGAAACCGTTGCATTTCTACAAAGATGTGTTCCTATCAACACTTCCCCCACTGACTAGCGGAAGCCCATGGCATGGCTGTCTCTGTGTTCCTGACCTCTAGTCGTGATGCTGCATGGGTACTCTTTTGTCTAAATGCCCATGTGAATTACCTTTGCTACATTCTCTTGCTTGGTTCCCTGGGTCAACTCACTCCACATAGACATACATTAGGACCCAAAGAGACGACTTCCCTTTCTTCTGGGTCACCAGCTAGACATCGTGCGTGTGTGAGCGTGCATGCATGAGTGAGTATGTGTGTGTGTGTGTGATCTGTGTGTGTGTGAAGGTGAGAGGACAATGTGTCTCTGTCTCTCTACTCCTGAGATTACACACCTGCTCATGCAGTTTGCTTGTTTGATTTTAACATGGGTTCTGGGGATCAAACTCAGGTTCACATGCTTGTAAAGCACGCACTTGACCAATTTACTGATCTCTCTGGGCCCTGAACATTATTTTACTCAGGTCCCATGTTTTAGTTTAGAAACAAACTCTTCTGGAAAAGAATTCCAAGTTCCATCAGAGCTGAAAATGCTGAGAACTGGCCCAGAGGGCTGAGCCTGACTAACTTCCACAACTCCTTCGGAAGCATAGCTGGACTCTCACGAGGGGGACAGATGCATCACTGGGCCCTCAGTGACAAAGGTCTGGATGCATCTGCACTAAAGTAAACTCGCAGCCACCCTGCGCTCTTATCAGCTACTGTTGATCATTTTTCTAAGTCAGTAGTGAGGTCTCCTACTTATCCAAAGGCTTAAGTCTGATGCTCAAGTGGCTATAGTCTTCCTTTTCAGTGACAAGTGATGATCTTAATGATGGCACCAAGGTGCTATGAAATCCTGAAGTGCCTGCAGAGTCATCAAGCATTAAATAATACTTACTGCCAGGCTTAGGATTAAAGGTAGATGGTTTTCTTATAATTCACTGCAAAATCGATGACTCTTGATATACATGCAAGTCCAGGTTAGATAAAATACTACCCAACAATTCTATCATCCCATTGCCAAACACAGGACAAAAAGCAGTGGCTGTCTTTCTGACTCAGGAACCAGGGGAGTGACTTGAAAGCTAATCAGCAAAGGACCTGAAACCTTGATTTTTAAATAGATACTTTCACAATGTATGGCAGCTGTCTCTCACAGTCTTAGGGACGCACGAGCATGTGCAAATGCATGGCCTTTTCCAAGCATCAAGATGTGGTCAGTGACGAGCAGTGAGTTTTGCCATTTGTCTACAGGTTTAGATCACAGCTCTAATTCTATGAGGTCCATGATTGCTACACTTCAAACCTAACCCAAAGAGAAGTACAATCCACTCCCTTTCTCCGAAGCACACAGCCCCACCTGTTCCTCTTCTCAGTGGTCTCCATTGGGATCTCCGCAGGCCTATCCCTAAGCATCTTCCAGACACTGGCCTGTGGGACGTTTTGGATGCAGCTGGGACCCTTGTGTCTGGGAGGACTCGCCAGGCAAATCCGTCAAAGCACGTGGCAGCTGTGCAGGTGCCACTGTTGTTTCGGATAACGGAGTATGCCCAGTGGCTTTCAGTTCACACAGAATGCTAGCTAGCTAAGAACCCGGGCTTTGGTGTTAGCCAGCCCACAAAATAGTTTAGATTCCCTTTGTACCACTTGCCAGCTGTTCCCTTACTCTGGTCAAGCCTCCATTTTCTCATTAGCAGAGTAGGGATAACACTACCAAGTGCATCCACTCTCAGACTTGCTGAGAATTGAATGGGGAGATGTATGCTCCGTGTTTGGCATAGTGCCAGGCACACAGTGAGGCCTCAACTAAGAGGGACTCTTGTTTTCCTGTGGCAACCCTCCACTCTCATGTACACAGGCTTCCTCCATCCTCCCTGATTTAATAACTCCAATCATTTTCTCACTCATTATTGTAACGGCAATCATCATTGCAATTACTGTTTGCTCATGACACTTCACATTATTATAATTATTATTTTTATCCTACTCTCACAAATGTCATTAATAAGTACCAACCATTAGTTGTCATTAATGATTACCAACTGCATGACATCCCACCCTAATTTTCAGTATAACTGAGAGTTTTTTTTTATTAGTTCTAAGGGCCAGCCGTGAGTGAAGAATAAAACTTCACTGAACCCAAATAAACTTTTCTGGAATATTCATGGCAAGCTTGTTTCTGCTTTGAGCTAAACACAACAGCTGAACAAATTTAATGCCTGACCTAAAACATTTGGAAAGCTTGTCTTCTGAAGGGAAATGTCTCAAGGCCACAAGGAATGTGTGCAGCCATGTGCACTGAACAGGACGTGCCAACTACTATTCTGTGAGGTGATGGTCTACAAGAGTAATAATTGTTGATTTATTCTGAAGCTCCATGAGACCAGCACTCTTCAGTAAACTTTTCATAATGAGCATATAGGTTAGGTGAAATCTCATCAATGTCCCCACTGTTACTGTAATAAAACAGTTGAGGTAACCAATTTATAATGAGGAAAGGTTTGGGGTCATGGTTTCAGAGGATTCATGGCTGGTTGGCCCCATTTCTTCTGTGGCTGTGGTGAAGCAGGACATCATGACAGGAGTACATATTTAAAAAAAAAAAACTGTTCACCTCACAGTGACCAGGTAGAAGAGATGCAGAAGAGGAGAGGGGAGAGGGGGAGAGACCCCAATATCCACTTCAAGGTCACACCCCCAATAGCCTAATTTCCTGTCTCTAGACCCATCTCCTGAAATTCCCACCACTTCCAAAAGCAAGTGACCAAGTCCTTAAAGCATGGCTTTTGAGGGACGTCCTGGAACCAAGTGTAGCACTAGATTTAGCCGAAGTTCAGTACAGTATATGGAACAGAAGGCAGACCATGGCTTTAAATGGGAAGGTAAACAGCCATGGGCTATGGCTTCACTCATGCTGGGTAATTCAGGTCTTTGGAGTGACAAGTGAGATATGAATGACCAACCCCATGTTGGGTCTGGCCTTTGATTTGTGGCTTTCTTTAGCCACTGGAGTGAAGAGACTTTGGCTATAGGACATCCTGGAGATGACATAAAGTGTTGGGGACAAGCAGCATGGCCAGCTGTCTTCTCCACATCTCTATGACAGCGTGGCTAGCTGGACCTGTTTGCACAAAGGCAGCTGGGCCTGTTCTAGAAGAGAATTTCTGCTCAGTCATTTGTATACATTCTTGAGTTGCTCCCTAGAATCAGCCTGCAGGAGCTGGGAACAGTTCAGCAGTAGAGTGTTCACACACATGCACGCACACACGCACACATGCTCACCACAAGACTACAGACTACTCCAGAGCAAGAACTAAGTCAGTGTCTCTCGCATTTCCCACAGAGCATAATGAACGGATGGAACCCATAAAGATGCCTAAATGCAAAAGAAGTTGTGCAGATATATTTAGAAATAAGAAGGAAGAGTGAGGGGTGGTGAGGGGCCAGGTGAGACACAGCTCTCTCCCTGGTCCTATGAACCATTCTCAAGTCACCTTGAAATACCACCACCCTCTTCCTGTTTTAATTTCCATGTGGTAGAGAGATAATTCCCCAAACCAAATAAAATTCTGCCTTTGTTGTTCAAAAATATCCCAATAGAGACAGTTTGGCCCAGCCAATAGTGGGCGGAGGGGGTAAATGCAACTCAACGTAGAGACGAGAGTTTGAATTCTGGCCTCTGCTTGGAACCCAGGTGACATGCGTGGCTCTTCACACTGCAGGCTTCCATCCCTGTGCAGAATGATGTGATTGTAAGAGTGACACTCTGAACTCTTGAGTTCATACCCTTGAGGTTGGAGCGTTCCCGCCTGACTTTTGGTGTCCTAAAAGTCAGAAGTGACCTCTCTTGTCAATGCTGCCTCCCCCTGCATTGTGCATGCATTGTTTGCAGTTTTAGAACAAGATTGAAATAGAAGCTTGAACAAGGCATTTGTGTTTTTTCTTTTTAAATCAGATATTTAAATACATTGTGGAAAGCAATTTTGGGGGTATTTAATTATTCACACTAATGGTTTATTGTAATGAGATTTTAAAAACCATTATGATGGGCAAAGGGCTGAGGCTTAAAATATTTTCATTTACAGATATGTTCTGCTTTAATGAAACCCAATATGCAAAAATCTAAAATTAGATAAATTGGAGGCTTTATCTGGGCTCATATTGTTTACTTTACAAAAGGGGTGCTCTGCTGCTCAAAAGCGTTTACCCAAGTGTTGCTTTGAACAGTGTGAGGACTATGGCGCCTTTGGAATGCAACTTCAATGATTTCCATGCCATTCCTATCCAGGTGTTATCTGTAAGGCAAGGTTCACCTGAGGAGAGCGTTGAGTATCCACAGGTTGGAGCTGACTCCGAACCGCCAGAGCAGTGAAAGGGAAGGAAAGGAGAGCAGAGATTTTGAGTGACATCCTCCACAGAAAGGAAGAAACACTCACCATGGGACTGTGAGGCTCCTATCTGATCTCGATGTGAAGGCACCTGTCAAACGCGCCATTATATCTCTTTAGCGGAACCTGAGTGCTGCTCGGCGATTAAAGTAATGGAATCCGAATCAGGAGTCGCGTTTCTCTGTCTCTTCTTTCTTCCAATTGGCTATTTCTGACATGTTCACTCTAAGGACAGTTTCCCACTTATAAAGCAATTATTACCATCTCAGGGGGGAAGCTGTAAAACCATGTTAATGTTTTTAATAGGCTGTGAACTCTTCAGACTAACATCTAACATTGTTGCCCTACTCAGCTTGTGAATTGATTGGCAGGAAGCCGTGTGTGTGTGTGTGTGTGTGTGTGTGTGTGTGTGTGTGCGTGTGTGCGTGTATGTGTGTATGTGTGTGTATGTACGTATGTATGTATATGTGCATGTGTGCAGGCACAAAATGCAGGTGCATGAGGAGGGTGGGGATCAGTGTTGGGTGTCTTCCTCAAATGCTCCTCTTTTTTTTTTTGTTTCTTTCAGGGTCTCTCATTTAACCTGGGGCTGCACTGATTCGGACTGGCTGGCCAGAAAGCCATAGGAACCCTCGGGCCTCTGCTTCTATGGTTCCAGGATTACAGGTTCCTACAACCGTACTTAGCCATACTTAGTCTTTGACGTGGGTGCTGGGGACCGAACTCAGGTCCTCATGCGTGCATGGCTAGTGCTTTACCAAGTGGGCCATCTCCCCAGCTCTTCAGTACTCACCTTTTGTCTTCAGCTTTTGAATAATAAAGTAAGCACAGAACTGGGAGAGGAAAAGGCATGCCCGTGTGTCAGTTGCCTTTCCCCTACCATAACAAACCACGAGATAAACAAGCATAAAGGGCCTGTTTTGAACCATGGTTTCAGAGGCTTTAGTACCTGTGTCATTGCCCCTCAATGCTGTGGGGTCCATGGCAAGGCAGGAGTAAGGCAGGATCTTATGGTGAACAAAGTTGCTTGTGTCCTGGCTGCCAGGAAGCGAAAGAGACACAGGAGGGGCAGGTCCTGTACTTCTTTTAAGGGACTACACCGCCCCCCACAGTGACCTAACTTCCTCCCATAAGGCTGACCTCCTAAAGGCTCCAGCACCTCCCAATAGTAACATGGGTGGGTGATGGGACTTTCAGGTCTGTTGGGAACATTTCAGATACACATTATATTGCCCAAATAGTACACAAAACTTTTCCAAATGGTTTATTAAATAAAACTGTAGAATCTGCTAATTGGACGGTAAATTATCACCAGTGCTATGGAATCAGCAGTTTTTATTCAAAAGAATTTGTTAAATCTGTCTCAGTACATCAGGGTCAGTTTGCATAGTTCATGAGAAGATAGAAATATCCTCATTATACAGTGATGATCAAAATACTGAATGTATTGCACAATCCAAATTGTGAGAGTTGGGAAGTGAGTTTGAAGGTTTTAGGTCTATGATCTTTGAAAGTAAATGTTAACTCTAAAATTGTAGCAGAACCAAGTCCTTGGATATAATTAGTGAAGACACAAATGCTTTCCCTATCTGCCCTAGGCGGTGTTGTATTTCTATGATGAAACACTGTCTTGAAGAGGTGTGGTAGTCTGAATGTATTTGGCCTCCATAAGACCACGGGGAGTGGCACTATTAGGAGGTGTGGTCTTGCTGAAGGAAGTATGGTCTTGTGGAGGAAGCTGGATGGCCACATGCCTTTAATCCAGACCTTGAGGCTGTAGGACACACCTTTAGTATAGGCCATACCTTCTGTAGGAAGTGTGTCACTGCGGGGGCGGGCTTTGAGGTCTTTTCTCAAGCTTCACTCAGTGTGACACTTAGCCAACTTTCTGTTGCCTGCAAGATGTAGGACACTGAGCTATTTCTCCAAAACCATGCCTGCCTGCATGCTGCCATGCTCCCACAATGATGGACTGAACCCCTGAATTGTAAGTGAGCCACTATAATTAAATGTTTCCTTTATAAGAGTTGTCATGGTCATGGTGTCCCTTCATAACAATAAAAACCCACACTGGGACAGGAGGAAAGGGTTTATTTCAGTGTATAGCATGAAGTGAAGTCAAGGCAAGGACCCTGGAGGGATGCTGCTTACCAACTTGCTCTCTAGGATTTGTTCAACCAGTTTTCTTACACATCCTAGGACCACCTGCCTAGAGGGGTCACTGCCTTACCACATCAACCATTAATCAAGAAACTGCTCCACAGGCTTGCCTACCAGTCAGTCTGATGAAGGCATTTTCTCAACTGAGATTGCCTCCTCCTAAATAACCATGGCTCGTGTCAAGTTGACAAAACAAACAAACAAAAAACCCAAAACAACAACAACAAAACCTAACCAGCACAGTGTCCATGGAGGGAAAGAAGGATGGACATGGTAGGTGTGTATTCAAAGGTGAAAAAGAATGCAGTGAGTTGAATTAAAGGCTTAATGGTTGCTACTCTCCCTCCTTTTGTTGTCCAGTCCAATTCATTCATGTATTCCTACTTTCCGAATGGACTACTGACCCAGCCTCGTGAGAACCTGGAGCAGTCTTGGGGATAGCTCTGTACACTCAGCAGCTGGCCTTAGAGGATGTGACCTGCCTCCTCGTGTACAGGTTACGTGCCCATAATAAAGGCTAAGCAGAGAATGTAGGCAGGCGCTTTTCCAGGAACACCAGCAGTTGGCTCTGGCAGCTGAGGGCAGTCACAAGATCCCTGTCACTGCACCCAGCTAAGGACAGCTACCCATGTGTGTCAGGATCCTTGGACAGGGTGTGGCTTATAGGGTTACAGCTTCAGAGAGAATGCACACACACTCTGCAGCAGGGAAAGGAACGCAAGACTCAGCCCTGTCGGAAACCAGTGAGACTCGAAGCAGAACCTCCCAAGCTTACTGACATGGCCTGTTAGAAGCTCATACCAGGCCAAACTGAAAGGCGTGAAGCCACTGCTTCTAGTTGTGCGGACACGACTGTGTGGAGGCTGAGAATTGGGCCATGAGATGGAGGCAGCATGGATATAGTTTCCCAGGTGGTAAAATAAGACAGATAGGCAGGTTTTAAAACCTGTGACCTGCTGACCTGTCATGTACCTATAGGAGCAGGAGTGGTGAAGATTTACTTCAGGACTTCCTAAGCATTCCGTTAATGCTGGCCTCAGAACTAGTCAAAGACAGATCCTGCACTATTTCCTTTAATGAAGAAGGCCTTTGACCCTCTGTGTGTGGAAGACACGAGCAGGTGACTGGAGGAGAGTGTAATGGAGAGGTCATTTACCAAGGTGTGGGGCTGCGGTGCTTGCCTAGCATGCAGAAGGCCATGGGTTCCATCTCCAGTACCATAAACAACACAACAAAACAACCACCACAAAAATACCCCACAAAGGTGTGAGCTAGGTTTAGGAAGCCAAAAGGGTTGGCAAATTACCACGACATGCTCTCGTGGGCTGCTAAGCCTCCTGGGGCAGGAAGGGTATTATGTGGAGTTCAATGTCAATGTTGTCTTTGTAGGGCGATGTCTCCGTTAGGTTTACTACTGCTGCCATAAATCATCATGATTAAATCAACTTATAAAAGGAAACATCTAACTGGGGGCCTGCTTATAGTTCCAGAGGCTAAGTCCATGACCATCATGGCATGAGGCATGGCAGCAAGTAGGCATGGCCCTGGAGCATTAGCTGAGAGTTACATTCTGACTGACAGCCAGGAGGCAGAGAGAGAGAGCAGTTCTGGGCTGACAGGGAGGCCCCACCCCCATGACACACCTATTTCAACAAGGCCACGCCTTCAAATCTTTTCCAAAGAGTTCCACTCACTGGGGGATGTAGCATTCAAATGTACATGAGCCTATGGGATGCATTCTTATGCAAACCACCACAGGTGAAGAGACAGGAAGGAAGAGGAGGATACACACCACAAACCCATTGCCCCCTCTCTTACTCATCTACTACCATCTTGAGCTGCCTAAAGCCAATGCAAAGTCAGAAGCAAGGCAGGCTGGCTTCCAGAGCAGAACATTGTGGAGAAGAGTGGAGGGTGAGCCAGGAGGGACAAGGAGAAGGCAATCTGGCAGGTTTCAGTGGAAATCCATTCATAGTGAGATGATGACAGCAGAGACCTCGTGGAACAAGCAAAAAAATCTGCATTTGGGGAAACAGCCAAAATCAGCTCCATATGACCTCTGATTGTGTTTGACATCAGGGCACATGTCTATGGGCATGTGCCTCTGGTTAGATTTTGAAGTTCCAGAGGGCAGAAACTGGGCTCTTTTCTTTATCCCTAGCCCCAGCACTGAGCCTGACACATACATAACCTGTACAGTAGCCATTCATTGACTGATTGACTAAACAAATAAAAAAGATAACAAAGTATTACATCCTGGTTAATTTAATTTTCTTTTCAAATGAATTTTTATCCAAAAAAGAAAAACAATCACAGAAAACCCCTTTGATCTTCTTCCTCCATGATTGAAAAATTTTCCTAAAGTATAACATTGGCTGTTGCAATCATTCAAAAGGATTATGCTAAGCTTGGAGGAATATGTCTTTGATGACTGTGAATTGAGCAGCACTCAGGGCTGTCAATCTAAACTGCAAGTATGGGCAGCAGGGCTGACTTGCAACGCACTAAAGATTTTAGACACAAATAAACAAACACATTGCAATCGCCATAGCCAATCACATTGGCAGCTTATCCTGCCAAGAATTCTCTTCAAGGCTAAATGTTCTATATATTCCCCTCAGTGTAAGCACTGTGGTTAATTTAGGATTGGGGTTAGATACCAAGGAACAGAGATTTTTTACTTCTCCATTGAAAACTTTTTTTGTCACTGTTGTTATTTTAACTTCTTTTCTGGTACTTTTCCAATTTCCCAAAATGACGCAACTATCTTTATTACATTAAGTATCCAGACTCTGTTTTCTATTGCTCTTGCAAAGACCATTTAACTCTCTCATCTGTCTAGCAGGACTTGGCAAACCATTTCATCTTTCGTGCCATAAGAAATCTGTGGAATACTCCTTTACACTGTGTAAATATATGTCGCTGTGATAGTTTAATAAAGAAGCTGACTGGACAATAGCTGGACGGAATAAGGTTAGGCGGGAGAACCAGACTAAGGACACTCAGAAGAAGAAACGCAGAGTCAGAGGAGTCACCTATGAGACACAAAAAGGAAACAGTGGGTGCAAGATGAAGATAGATAATGTCATGTGGCAGAATGTAGATTAATGTAAATTAAGTTGTAAGAGCTAGTTAGTAATAAGCCTGAACTATGGGCTGAGCATTTGTAATTAATAGTGAGTCTCCATGTTGGTTATTTGGGAACTGGTGAGTGGAAAAGAAAAGTCTACCTACAGAAGCCATTACAATTTTCTCTATAATCTGAGTTCCATAGTAAGGTTACATTTGATAGCACTTTAATGAACTCCTTCAGACCTGGCAGAATAATCCTGAAAACCCAAGAGACACTCACCTGCCTCCCCTGGGGTTTTGGGGATGGTCTGGAGTTTTGCCGCAAATCTTCCTCCATCAGAGAACGCTGACTCTCACACCTAGCAAGAGGATTGTAGCTCCACATGTAAGTGGATGTCCCCTGGTTAATTTTATTTGTTGTTAGGCTTGTCTAGCAATAGCCTCTGGTAATTTCAGTTGGTTTAGACTCCTTGTCCCATCAGAAGTCTGACCCTTCATTGCTGTCATTTTAACGTTTTAAAAAAGACTTATTTTTTATGTGTATGTTTCACCCATACTTATATATATATATATATCACACACCTGCCTTGTGCCCTTGGAGGTCAAAGGAGGGTGTCAGAGCTCTAGAACTAGAGTTCCAAATGGCCGTGAGCTATCATTTGGGAGCTGGGAACTGAACCCAGGTCCTTCGCAAGGACAGCAAGTGTTCTCAACCAGGGAGTCCTCTCTCCAGACCCAGAAATCAGAGTCTTAATACGGGTTCTGTTTGTTCCCCAGGTAACACCCATTGCAGACATGTGGAAACCTGTGGCCATTCAGGACTCTTGGCATCCTCCTCAGTGTTTGCCTGCACAGACTGTGTGGTCTCTGGGCTGCTGTTATCATCGGATCATTCCTGCCGCTGTAGAAACGCTGACCACATCTCCACCCCTTCTTGTGAAGAAGCCTTTGTGACTCAGAGATAGTCCTGGCAGCTTTATCCTCCGTCCTTCTTCTTCCTCCTCCAACCCCACTCCTGCTACTTTCATCTTGCACGGCCATTCCCCACTCTACCTCTGAGCCCAACGAATGGCCTTCGTGGCTTATCTGAGAATGCCTATTTCAGTTTAGTCCGAAGATATCTAAGAAGTAGGAAATCACGTTTTAATCTAAGCTCAAAATAAATGCCGAGTCATGCGACGTATCAGAAAAAAATGCATTTGAACAGAAGAATTGAAGATATCAAATAGATTCGCAAAAGTACGTTTCTAACCCTGTTACTGAGACAGTAAATTATTTATGCTTTGAAAGATATGCTAATAATGCTTCATTTTGTTTTATGTGTGTTTTCAATAACATGGAAGGACGCATCTTGATTTCTTGTGACACGAGAGTTTGCTCTCAGGGCCTGGCTCAAGCACTCCACCCCTGATCTGTGTCACACTGCCTTCCTGTCACTTTCGATAGCAAGACAGGGCTTCACTAACTTGTCAAGGTTGGTCTTGAATTTGCAGTGGCATGGGGCTTGTAGGCTGTGCCACCAGGCCCAGTAAACAACAGTTCATAGCAATCTTTTTCTCTTGGCTGAATAATGTATCAGAGATATTTTCATATTGTTAATCATTCATATTATCAGAAGTGACCGTATAATACTCCAATTTGGCTATGTTTATAATTTATTCAGCAAATGTCTTACTCATCTCTGATGCTCTGATGGTTACCATCAGAGCCTGAATATACATAAATACCTCTAGGAGAATTACTAGACCAAAGAGTGCACATAATACTGAGGCTACATGAGTGAAATATAGGGTCTGATCTACTGGGATGACTGAGAATTAAAGTTAGTGGAAAATATAGAGAAAATGTGACTCTTTGGGGAGAATGAAAAAAAGCATCATTGATGAAGGCAACCATATTGTATTCAGGTAAGGGCATAAGGAAGCCTCGACAGGAAACAAAAGCACCAGGGTCTGTACGGTGCTTCCGAAATCTGCCCAGTCTCCTCCGTTACTTCCTCAATTAATAAAAACTGTCTTTGTCGAGTGGACAACTTCACTCTTCTCCATACAGCTCTTGTGTGCTTCGCTGGTGAAATTTTTCTAACTGAAAAAGAGGTGGCAAGCCCAGGATCTTGGCTGAGGGAGAGAAGGAGGGAAAGAAAGGGAGGAAATATGGAAAGAGGGAGAGAAGAATTTGCTAAAATAAGTGTTTTGTTTTTGCAAGGATTGTTGATCTCATGGAGTGCTGCAGACTTCATCAATGTGGTCCCTCCAGTCACCACCCTTGTGGTCCTTGAAATATCGATGCAAAACATCTATACTGACGTGTCTGTCTTCTCTGTGACTAGCTGAGTGAGGGTGTTGTCTCAGTTGCTTTGACATAGCACTGAAATAGTGCCTTACATAAATATAGAAGGCTGAGAATTTTCAGAACTGTCCACAAATAGGCTTCGGGAAGGATTTCGAGACTGTATCCAGTGATGCCACTTCAATCATAACTCTAGGAAATCAATGGTAAAAGGCACCAACCATTGCCTTAAATAATCACAGAATGCATCTTCAGTTGTAGGCTGGTGTACAGCAAGTGTGGGTGACCCTGGAGCCCAGAGCAAACATGCAGTGTATTCACAGAGGAAGGGAGGGAGAGAGGGAGGGAGGGAGGGAGGCAGGGAGGAGAGAAGACAAAAGAGAGACTAAAATAGAAAAGAGAGAGAAGGGAAGAAAAGACAGAGGTGTGAGTAGAGAGAAGCCTGGCTTCGTTGCATCAGAAGCATGAAAGCAATGATTTTGGACCCACTCTGAAGACTTCCTGGACAAGGGGTCCTGGAAATACTCCATCCTCTTGCACTCCACAGCAGGGGGTTTGGAATTTCTGAACAGGCTGTGGAGGATTTGACCCTTCCAATCCTGCCCTCTCCCACAGGTACTTAGATGGCTCTCCAGAAACAACTGACAGAATATTAGGATCCTTGATAGACGAGTCTGTAATCAACCAACAGTATAGACACTGTAGAAACACACTCTTACGAAGTTCCATCATGTGGGCGCGACATGCCACTTCAAGGGCTAGTTAAGGATCTTTGGTGTCCATGCTTTCTGAGGGTCTGCTTCTGCACGGACGTGGGCAAGATCGCAAACCCTGCTTACGACACTGTCACGGGGATGGGGGGGGCTGCCTCAGCTGACAGTGGGGACTGGTAGGAGCCTGGAAAAGTACAATAATATTCAAAGTTGCCTTCAGTCTTATTTTTATTTGTGCTAATTTGCATGACTGGTGGATGCCAAATGAAGATATTTTTCTTTCTCCTTGGAATAGCTTCATTTTAAAATACCCTTCTTTTCAAAGTGCCCAAATATTACTGTGGTGAATAACGAGACAGATGGAGAGTGGGGAGGGTGGGGCAAGTTCAAAATGCTTTTCGCTCGGCAGAATAACTTAGTTTTTCAGATTTCCAGCCTCCCTCTATTTTGCTCATCTGAGGGCACCATGCCCTCCACCCTGTGGAGATGCAGCCGCCACAGAGCCCCATCAAACTCCATCGACCTCCTACACACAACCTATTGGAAGGGCGCGGCAGCTGCCCCTCCGCAGGCTTAGTGTGACTCATTCTATAAGCAAGGGGAAGCTTCCAGGCTGCGGGACTTTGCTGCTTGCAGCCCCGCCGGAAGCATCCATCACTTTGCAGAGAGGGAGAAAAACAATCCAATGCCTCATCGCATCACAGACATTCGGAAACTGGAGCTGCAAGGAGTTCTTTATCCTTTTCTGAGCAAGCAATATCAGGAAGCCACCGATAGCTAAGTGTCTGACTAATTTGGGTGCACAGCCTTGTTGTTAAGAGACAAGAGTGTATCTGTCTGGTTTCCAGAAAGGCAGGTGCCATATTGCAGAGTTCCACTGTCATTTCCCCAGCCCTTGTTTATTGCCGTCTCTCCCTCCTCTACCCAAAGCTGCATGGCCCTCCCAGGCCCTTGTAAAATGTCAGCAGTTCTTCCAGGAAGCCTCGCCCATGTACCAGTTCATCTCGCCACTAAACAATTTAGAAATTAATAATGTAGCAACAGGAGAGAGATTAAAAAAGCCATCTGGTGAGCAAACCCAAGCTCAGCTTAAAATACCTACAGCACCAGACAGAGATGAGTACGAAAAGAGCAAGGGCCGGGGAGCCAGGGCACTCAACTCAGCTGCTGCACCTGCTACTTGCTAGCTGTGCCCATTTGGGCTGGTCACTTAACCTCTTCCTGCAGTTCAGGGACCAATAATCATCCTTCCCTCAAAGGACTTTAGAGATGAGTTTATTGTCATTGGAAACAGTCTAATACAAATGGCATAAGCATATTAATCCTGCAGCACGATTGACCACGGTCCATCCTGAGGGAACACTATCGGCTTTGGGACTGCTAGATCCAGATTGACAACGTGCTGGCCAACCCCCTTCACATCTGGCTACAGAGAACAATGGATGCCTGAGTCTCAACAAAAAGACCCCCTCTCTCTGACCCTCGTTGGCTCCGGGAGTTAGAGCTCACAACAGAGTATGTTCATTCATCCAGTCAGCAAACACGTGTGCTTCATGTCCTGGTTGCTCATCTTAGGTGGCATACTAGAGACTTGGGGAGTTCAGGCCTGAGCTAACCTCCCAGTGATGTGGTGGTCCACCAAAGAGTAAGAGCGGCTGAGTAAGAGCAGAGGAAACGAGAAGGCAGGCAGTGGGAACAACCTAGTGCTGCTGGCGGCTCTGAAACTTGATGGGGGATGCCCTTCTGTATATATGTTTCTCTTATTGGCTGATGAATCAAACGCTATTTGGCCTATAGAGGCGGGAAGACAGGTGGGACTAGGAGGTGAGAAGAATTCTGGGAAAGGTAGCAGGGAGAGACCTCGAAGAGATGCCATGTAGCCAAGGAAGGAGTAGAAGGTCCAGACCCTCTCCGGTAAGACAATACCATGTGGAAATACATAGGCTAATAGAAGTGGGTTAATAATTAAGACAGAGCTAGCCCTAGCCATCAGCCAACAGTTTAATAAGTAATATAGTGCCCATGTGTTTATTTGGGGCTGAGAAGGGTGGTGGGATCTGGTGGGATAAGAAAATTCTAGAAACAGAAACTCAGCCTAGTTTGGGTCTGCTTGTTGGTGCTCCTTCCTGTTCTGACCTACTTCCCACAGGAAAACATCTCAGTGTTTATACTTATCAGGTTTATCTCATGAACGATAAACCGAAGACAGAGACTAATACCCAAACTGCCCACAACAATTTCCTTAGGCCTAAGTAATAATAGTCACCAACAGTTATTGAATCTTCACCACAAGCCATTGTTCCAGGTCCCTTCGATTGTCAGGCCTGCTACTCAGTGAGGTGGAACTTTTATTTCCAGATGAGAAGAAGTGGCACAGAGAGCTTAGATACTCCACTTGAGGCCACTTGGTAAATGAGAATTCGTCTTTAGAGAAGTTGTTCTCAACCTGTGGGTCATGACCCCTTTGGGGTCCAATGGCCCTTTCACAGGGGTCACATATCAGATATCCTGAATATCAGATGTTTGCATTATGATTCACAACAGTAGCAGAACTACAGTTATGGTAGTGATGAAGAAACCCTTAAGGTTGGGGTCACCACAACACGTGAATTGTATTTAAGGGTCACAGAATTAGGAAGGCTGAGAACCACTGTTCTAGAGGGAACCATGTCTTCCTGAATTCCATCTTCTGAAGCCCTGGCCCCTAGGGCCTCAGAGTGGGACTGTAGTTGATGGCAGGGTCTTAAAGAAGTTTAAAGTAAGGTCATTATGGGGGCCCTGAGCCAGTGGCCACTACCCTTACAAGAAGGTTGAATACAAACAGGCGTACAGGGAAGATGTAATGACACAGAAAGAAGGTGTCACCTGTAAACCTCAGAAGGAACCATCCCGGTTGGCACCTGGATACCAGACAGCAGCCTCAGGACTATGAAGAAATAAATTTCTGTTGCTTCTACCTCCCAAGTCTATGGCATTTTGCCATGGTAGCCCTAGAAAACGAATTCGGGTAACTAATGAGTACTAAATGATGACCTGGGAGAACCCTTCCCTCCTGGCTACCCAGCATGTCTCCTAGGGCAGTGTGAGGAGGGCACACCAGTACCCTTTGAGGAGATGTCCAGGGCTTCCTCAGGCTCACCCCACTGAGAGACAAAGCTTTATTAGAGTTTAAAAGAAAAACAACTGGGCAGGCAAACCAGAAATAGAGGCTGCTGTCTGGCGAAAAGGAGATGAAGAAGAGGAAGAAGGGTAAGCCACTTGAGCTAAAGCTGGTGGACAGTTAACCACATGGTGGACACGCAGCCACCTGGTGGACGGGGAGCCATGTGGCAAGCAGAACATGTTAAAAAGGAACATGCCCAAGTCCAAGCCAGTATCAGAAAAGAAAAAGGAAAATGTTATACCAATCTGAGTCTGTGCTCAGAAAGGCAGGGAGACCAGGTTTCTGGGGAGCAAAGAGACATTCTCATTAAAGAGACAATTATTCCACTCATCTCTGAATGCTTCCTATAAAGGGCTCTCCCTTAACCATGTGATTGACAAGGACAACTAGATAAGATGTTAGGTCTCTACTCAGGCCGAGGAATCCATAGTCTTGACCAGAGAGAAGGAAAGTGCTTTCCCTTACCGAGCCTTTTATGATAGGCAACGATGAGAATATGAAGGAGACCAGAAGCACGGTATACTGTCTGCAGAATAATCATGAAAACGCAGTTAGGCCTCTGACTGCACAGGATCCATATCCATAGATTCAGCCAGCTGTGGGCGGGGGGAAAAGATGACAATTGTTCTGAGCATGCGTGGACTGTTCTTCCTCCTCCTCATTCCATAGATGATACAATAGAACAACTATGTGTACAGAATTCACTTTATAATTGGGAATTATTAGTGTTCTAGAGACAGTTCGAATGTATGGAGGATATGCAATATATATCATGTTATATAAGGGACATGAGTAGCCAAGCCAGATAAGGTCCTGGAGTCAGCCCCTGTGGGAAGGCTGAGGGATGGCTGTGAATTTAAACATTACTTTAAACAACCGTACAGACACAGACGTACTGTGATGAGAGTTAGAAAGAACAGGACGCTAATGCTGTGGAGGCTGATGCCAATGGAAGTCAACCCAGCAAGATGGGCAGCAAAGGGCTTCAAACTCACCAGAGGAAGAAGAGACAGCCTTGCAAGTCCTAAATATATAAGACAGGGAGAGAGAGGGAAGAGGAAAATGAACAATGGTTGCAATCTGCCACATTCCAGGCACTGCGCTAGACTCCTGCACTTCAGCAACTGGCACTCTAACAGGATAGGTGGGAGAAGGGGCAGGGCCTCCCTTGTCCCAGGTTACACCCAGCTCGTCTAAGCCAACAGCTTTGCCAGACGTTGCCTGTGTCACTGTGGCCTAGGACCATCCTGCGGTGACACAGAGCAGCCCAGAGCAGTTCCCCGAGAGCTTGGTGTGTCCACCGAAGCCGCTGCCTCTGTCTGCATTCCATGGCCCCAGTGGCTTCCCTCCGGGGCTTTGAACAGAGCTCAGGGCAGCCTCACCTGTCGCAGAAGGTCAAGAATGGGTGGAATGACATGGGAGGTGCTGGAGGGTTCAGATTCCCAGGCAGAGTCTATGTTAGTAGCAGGAATTTACAGCCGCAAACCAGGAGACTTGAAATAAAGCAGAGGCAGGCAGGGGTGGGGGCAGAGGGGTAGGGGAGGAGAGAGCCTCTCTCTCTCTCTCTCTCTCTCTCTCTCTCTCTCTCTCTCTCTCTCTCTCTCTCACATACACACACACACACACACACACACACACACTGCTACACACTACACTGAGTGGGGGGGCTATAGGGACATAGATCAAAAATGTTTTACCCATTTGTGAGCCACCACCTAAAGGCCCCTCACACTCAGTGGTCAGTGGAATCCATCTTGTTTCCCGTACTCCACCTGCTGTGCTGGGGCCTCACTCTCCTCCCTCCATTCCAAAAGAATGTGAGCAACAGCTAAATGGCTGTTGCTAACGGTATCTCCAAAAATATGACTAGTAGCCTATGCTTCACTAGCTCAAGATCCATTAAGAGAATTCTGTTTTTAAATCTAATGCTCAGGAAAGCTGTTTCCCTTAAAATAAGAAGGCGAGATGTATAAAACTCACTAGACTTAGTGTGGCAGTCACTAGGCTTCCTTTCACCACAGCTACTAGGAGGCTTGTCACCATTATGATTAACGGTTGCATCAGTGCTGGTTTTTGTTTGTTTAGTCCTCCTTTTCTATCCCTAATCACTTTTGGTTCCCTTGAATTTATTTTGCTGAGCATTCTGAAGAAAGAGAGTAACAGAAAGCAAGTCGTGTAAGTTGTCTCTGGATCAACGTCTCAAGCTGACACCCTAACTAACCCCTGTCCTGGGTGGTTGTTGCAGTCTCCCACTACCCTGACATAACAGTGACACTGCCATTGCCCACTTAAGCCCCCACTGAGCATAACTCAAGCTTGGTTTATACAATTTATCCACTGCTATTTTAAAATTTCCCCCAAAACCTAACAATTCCAACAGCAAGCATTTCCTATTACTACCACAATTTTTGTGCTTAGGGACCCAGGAGCTGCTGAGCTGGTTGGCCCTTCAGGGGGACCTGGTGCCTCTGGTGAGGTTACAGCTGAGACGCTGTCCAGGGTTACAGACATCTGAAGGTCCAGGGAGGGTTCGCAGGCCAGGCCTTGCCAAAGGAGCCTCTCTATAAGGCTGTTAGAGAGCTGGTTCATGAGGGTAGCTGGTTTCCCCCTAAGAAGGTGATGAGGCCGGCAGCCAGGCAGGAAGGCAGGCGGGCAGGCGGGCGGACGGACAGACAGACAGACGGACAGACGGACAGACAGGGCGTGCAATAGGGCAGGCCACGACGACTTTCATGACCCAGGCTAAAGAGCCACACTGCAGCATTTCTGCCATCTGTTTATTAGAGGTGAGTCACCATGCGCTGAGGGTAATCTAGGTGGGGGGGGCTCTGACTTGCAAAGGGAGGGACACCAAAGGACTTGAAATGTATGGAAACCACCACTCAGAATGTAAAGTTTGCTTCCATTCTTTTAAAGTCCTCAGGCAGCTGGAGCCCAGGTGGGTACTCAGCGTGTCTTTGCCTCCATGCAAAGCAGGATAGAGAAAAGCAGGGAGGAGACAGGGTTTGCCAATCGGGAAATCGGTTTCCCAACTGACAGACACACATCAAGAAAGCATCTGCAGCTGCAAGTCACCTCCTCCCTCCAATCGCAGTTGGGGCTTTGAAGGCAGCGCCTTAGATTCAGAAGGTGCTGGGATGTTGTCCTCACAGTTCTGGGAGGCTGGGAAGTCCACGGTCAAAGACTCTCGGTGCCATCACGGCTGGCATTTCATGGGGGCCAGTTTTTAATAACCGGTGATTACTTGCTGCCTCTTTGAGAGAGGATTCCGATTTGCAGGGCGAGTTTTTGTAGCAGTTGATCTCAATTGTCAACCTGCTAACTATAGGCTCACCCGAAGATGGGCCTCTGGGAATGTTGGTGAGAGTTATCTTAAGATAATTGAAGTGGGAGGACCTGTCCACCGTGGGTGGCATGATTCCCTGGGCTGGGATTCTACACTCCATGAAAAGGAGACATTCATCTCTCTGCTCCCAGGCTGCAGAAGTGACTGGATGCTTCAACCTCCTGCTGCCAGGCTTCTTCCCCATGGTGGGTTGCACCCTTGGACTATGGGGTAGGGTAAACCATTTCATTCTTATGCTGCTTTTGTCAAAGAGTTATTTATTGATTTAATTTTAGGCTTAACCATTTTATTTTATGTATATCAATAGCGTGTTCACACATATGTCTGTGTAACACATATATGCCTGGTGTCTGCAGAGATCAGAAGAGGGCATTGGCTTGCTTGGAACTGGAGCTGTGGATGGTTATGAGCTGCCATATGGGTGCTGGAAATTGAACCCAGGTCCTCTGGAAGAACAGCTAGTGCTCTTAACCTCTGAGTGATCTCTCCAGCCCCTTCACAGAGTTTTTTAATCACAACAATAGAAAAAGTAATCTCACACCTTATCACTTGCCAAAGGTCCCACCCCTAATGCCACTATCTTGGGTGTTAGTTTCAACATAGAAATTCTGTGGGTGTATTGGTTACTTTTGTCTTGCTGTGACAAAATACCTGGAAGGAGGATTCATTTTGTCTCACAATTTGAAGGGAGTCCATCATAGGGAGGGGATGGTGGCAGCATAATCGGAGTCCTTAGTCAGGAAACAGAAAAAGGACAGGAAGTGGGGCTGGGCTACAAATCCTAAAGGTACACACACACACACACACACACACACACACACACACACACACACACACACACACACACAGGCACGCACGCACGCACGCACGCACGCATGCACACTCTCCTTGGTGATCCACTTTTTCCAGCCAAGTTCTACCTCCTAAATGTCCCATCTTCCAAAACAGCCCTACTCCAGTCTACCAAAATGAACCTGTAGGGGGCGTATCAACTCAGACTACAACAGTGGGAGAAGCAGATACTCGACCTTAACACATTGTCTTACGTGGGGTAACACATGACCCCAAGTGGGAATAAAAGAAAGGGCAAATTCTTCAAAGAGAAGGGAAACAGTGCTCCTGGTTAACCCTAAAGATCATCTCCACTTGAGACAGAATTGAAGACTAAAGTTAAGGCGGTGCCTAATAAATGTGTACATCACCGGAGACAGGGGGCTGCTGGCTGGAAAATGGGAAGTGAGAACACCCTCCGATGGTTGCAGAGCCACACTGTCAAGAGGTGGGTCCCCTGCAGCCAGGATGCCTTGATTGTCTTCAGCTGGAGGGCTCTCTTCCTTCTGTAGGTCTACTGATCATTCCCTCCCATGACAAACAGCCTGTGTGCTGAGGGTGACTCACAGGGAAGTGGGCTTTTCTCCTCCAGAAAGCCATCGTTGTGCTTGCAAAAGCACCATAAAATGCTACAATACACACCAGCTAAGCAACCAGATCTGTGAAGTGTGTAACACTCCTGTCATTTGGGAATTAACTAGCCTAAAAAAATGAGCAAGCCAGAAAGCATCTTATGAAATAATGCATGCAGCCCAGAGCTTCCTATTTTTTCTTTATTAAGAAGCTCAGATGCCAAAAGGAGACTAACTGTGTTCATTCAACATAATTCAAGTTCACCTTGGGTTCCTATCCCATTGGTCACTGTTATACCATGTCTACATTCTGGTCCACAGAGGATGCCGCTGTCCCTCTGGGGCTGACATCGGTGTCTTTCCAGGCACACAAAAGTTCCTGTGCTTGCCATTTTATGATCACAGGCCAAGGGGTCCATTCTTTACCTACAGATGAGGGGCCTGGAGGACTTAGGTGTATTACTGAGGCAGCCACCACTGCAATGAGAACACACTTCTTGGCTGTACCCCTAACTGGCTCAGAGTTACTGCCTGGTGCAATGTATCCCTCACCTCTAGGTGTGGGGCTTCCCAGCTGGCTGCGATCACTCATGAGAGAGAAAGGTTGAGAAGATGAGGAGGAGTGCTGCTACGATGCTAATGGGTAGCAGTAGCTCATCTTTGAAGATCCAAGGAGCCAGCAGCACTGCACGGTGGAGCAGGAGGAAGGGATGACCATGTGGAAGGCATTATAGCATTCCCATCAGAGGCGGCAAGTCAGAATGCAGACTGTGGCTGTGGAGACAGAGACCAGAGGGCTATAGGAAAACTAGTGACATTGTGAGACTTTGCAGAGCCCATGTCGATGAGCAGCAGGGATTATAGATGCATCCTGGATTCCGACCCAGCTACTGGGAAGAAGGTGAGAGGAATAGAAGAGGATGAAGGGGATGGGGGCTATAAGTCCTGATGGGAGCTGCAACCATCACCATGGAGATTGGAAGCAGACGGGGACCGCAGTTTAGGAAATGGGATGACTGACCATACTAATAAGGCTTGTGCAAGCAAGGGGATGGATTTATCAAGGCCCCACGCTGCCTGGTGCTGACATTCCCTGCAGAGTAGATGGGAGCAAGCCATGGTTATAGCAAGCTTGTTCTCAGCGTGAGGTTTTATTAGCTAGGTCTGGAGAGTCACAGAACCGGGGACAGGAAATTTGAAAACTCTAGACCAGGTGTTAAAAGTTACAGTGGGCTCTAGATGATCTTTTGAAAACTGGTCCTATGTTCCGGATTCTTCAGTTAATTCACACAATATGATTTCTCCTGTCTCTGACCCAAGAAAGAAAAGTAACATTCCTGATGTTGGTGCTACCGGGTGTTTTGTGACCAAAACCAGATTGCTTTGTAAATAGCATTGTCCAAAGGAGTGTGAAGTAGGCTTCCACCTAAGACCAGTAGGATGGTTTCTTCAGACTGAGCACTTAGAAGGCTCACCCTGGCTTGCTGCCTGATTCTAGGAATGTGCTTCTTAAAGTCAAAGGGGATTTTTTAAAACAGTCTCCCCCAGCTCCCAGCTCTGTGGTGGTTTTATTTTAGGTTTCAGCATTCCTACCCCTCCCTTCTGTCTCTGCCTTCCCTCCAGTCACAGGTGCTGTAAAGTGACAAGCAATGTTTGAATCCATCCCAGCATACCCTGTAGGTCATTTCCTGGAGTACTGAGCTGGTTTTGTAAGCACTCCAATTACCCTGAGAGCCCCATGTGCCCCGAGGCATATGGGCCAGCTGAGAGTCCAGACCCTGTCCACACTGCAGGGTACACGGAATGTCAGGGTAGAAGACATCCCTGCCTGAGCTCCTGCAGTGTGGGCCAGGGGAGGGGAGTGAGACCTTACCTCAACCCTGCTGACAGCCCCGGGGGCTTGGCTTCTTTCCTTAAAAAGCCTCCTCTGTTCCTGCATGCGAGCTTCCATCCCCAACGAGTTTTCAAACCCTTGGCATTTGCTATAAAGGTGAGTCGGCTTTGAAGACTGGTGGGAATCTCAATCACATTCCTATTCACAGTCAAGGAGGGAGTGGAACTAAAAATACCAGCCTTTCGGGTTTCTCTCTCTCTTCTGGAGCACTGGGGAGAACCTCACCAAGTCCTCTAAGGGAGTCAGGGAGAACGCCCCTGCACCCACCCTGACACCCTGTGGCAGCGCCACCAGCCCGTTCCAGATGCCCACCGACCTCCCAACAGGGTGCCACAAGATTCCGAGGCCGTTTTTCTCAACACGTACAATGAAGTCTCCTAATACGTTACATATTTAACAGACAAGACAATTTGGCTATGGAAAAAGGTCTCAGAGACACCAGGATGTTCAGATTATTAAGAGCCAAATTAGCTGACAAGCATCATCCACTCAGTGTGCTGCCTTGACACCGAGCAGTTCTCAAGTTATTAGCAGGCCATTGTGACCGGAGAGCACCTCGTATTGCCCGTGCTCATTAGTTATTGGCTCATTCTGCCTATGCCCGGGCTAAGCTGATGATGGGGGCAGGTGCATATGGCGTGGGGGGGTGTTTTACTTAAAAAGCCATCGGAGCATTGACACGGCTTACCACTGATGACTCCTGGGTGAGTCAGTCTTTTCTAAAAGAAGAAATGTTCCTTTAAAAGGAGGGGAAAAGTTCTCTGAAATCTGTCAGGTTTTTTTTCCCTTCTTAAAACCAGATCTGTCTTTTGGAATCAGATTTAAAGTAAGACTAGATGATTCACTCTGCCAATCCCTCATTAAAGCAGAGATACCTTATGAAGGGCAGAAGTATGGACGTTGAGGCTGCATGCAAACTGTTCTCCCATTCTGGGGGCTTCCATCTATAAAGACAAAGATGGCTGCCAAAGCTCTGTCTTTCTTGCCCAGTAGGGTCAGGTTGCCCCTTGGCAACGTGTGCCTGCATTCTGATTGACAGGCTGGTGAGCTATCCATGGCCAAGGTAATAGCCATTTGGTAGGACCATATCGAAACTAATTATTAAAGTTAATTAACAGGAAGCTTAATTAACTTATTAGCCACCCAACAGTGGAGGAACTGCTTGCTAAAAGGTCAATTCAGGACCAGCCGGTCCTTTGCCATCTTATTTCAGCTCAAAGACAAAGCAAGGAAAATATTTACCAAGTAAAACTGAACAAAAAGAAAAATTGCTGAAGATCATAGGCGCCATGGTAACACTCCATTCTGAGTGCCTCGTGCCTCCAGAAGACAAGCTATAATGATGACAATTTCTGGGAAATTGTATTAGATAATGCTTGCCACCGAGGCTTAAGCGACTCAGCCATTGTTCCCTTGTGTTAAACTTATTTATTCCTTTCATTTGAAATCCCAGGGAGATAAACTCATCCAGATGAAAACAAGTGGCTTTTTGGATAAATTGCCTATGAGTTTTGCCAGTGCAGCAGACATGACACCTGGTGACATACAAGAGATGATCTTAGTGGACATCAGCTGCCCTTCCTAGCTCCCAGTGCCCACCTGGGCCTATCTCAAAGTTCCTCCTGATGGCATAGTGTCTATTGGCATTGGGTAGATGTATCCAAATTCACAGAGGCCATGGTGGAAAGATGGTGGTCTGAAGACATGAGCGATGGAGATTTGATGTCCAGCTTTGACAGTTGCTGGTCCTAGGTCTTGAGCAGGTGTCGTGGCTATGCTTAACTTGCAATGTCTTAGGAAACAAAGGTAGTAATACCTGAGCTATTTACAAGTTTCCACCATGAAGCCAGGACCCCATAAATCATACTCTCGTTGTAAATGGGCTGTTTAAGTGACAGGGAGCAAGGGGGCTTCCTCCATGCTGATCTCTGTAGATAGAAGTTTCTGTCCTACCCGGTCCCACAGCTCTTTAGTCCCAAATAAACACACGGAGGCTTATATTAATTGTAAACTGTTTGTCTGATGGCCCAGACTTCTTATTGGCTAGCTCTCTCTTCATTATTAGCACATTTCTATTAACCTGTGTATCTCCACATAGTCTTGGTTTATTGGAGAATGCCCAGGCATCCTACCTTCCTGGTGGCTACATGGAGTCCCCCTATCGACTCTCTCTCTCTGTGTTCCTCTTCCCAGAATTCTTCTAGTCTGGTAGCCCCACCTATACTTCCTGCGTGGTTACATCCTGTCTGTCCATTGTCGAAAACAGCTTTATTCATGAACCAATAGGAGAAACATATATTCACATCATATAGAAAGATATCCCCCCACCATCTGTTTGGCCAATTGACAGGCGGGATTTAACCAGGTGGGAAATCCAAACAGGGATAGAGAAAGTTAGTAGATGGAGTCAGAGAGATGCCATGTAGCTGCTCAGAAAGCAAGAAGCTTGGCCGTCCCCAGTAAGCCCAGACCAGGCGGGACAGAAACTTCTGTCTGCAGATCTCTTACTGTATGCTCATTTATGATGCTCTTCTAGTGTGCCAGGACCCTGGATCACTTTGATGTAATGACCTCTTTGGAGGCCAAGTATTCGACGGAGGCTACCTCCAAAGGGGTCATTGTAATAATATGATTCGAGAGGTCCCAGCTCCATGCTGAAAACTTATGGATAACTCAACTCTGACTCCATCGAAGCTGTTCTCATGTTGCTGAAAGTTGTGATTCTCAAACTCTTTGGTACTGGAAAACCTTCACTGTCTTATGAATGTACCAATGAGCCTGTATCAGTGTTCCATTTGTGCTGAGGCAAATAACTGTACATGCAGTAATATGGCATAGTGTAAGACATCCCTGACTGTCTTAGTAGCCAGAAATACAAAGTGGGTCCCCCTGGGCTCAAGTCAAAGTGGCCAGCAAGGGTTGGGCTCTCTAACAGGAGTCTGGTTGCCTACTAGGTTCAGCTTTTAGAGGTCCCTGCACTGCTTGGCTTGTGATCTCTTCCTCACATCACCGTGGCTTCTGTCCCCGGCCTTGCCTCTACTTACTCTGTTTCACGTGCATCTCTCTTTGTGAGGAAGAATATCCCATCTGAATTGGGCAGTGGTGGAACTCGCCTTTAATCCCAGCACTTGGGAGGCAGAGGCAGGCAGATCTCTGTGAGTTCAAGGCCAGCCTGGTCTACAGAGCAAGTTCCAGGACATCCTCAAAAAAACACAGAGAAACCCTGTCTCGAAAAACAAATGACCAAACAACAACAACAAAAACCAATCACTCCCCACCTCCAGAAAAAAGAAGATCCCGTCTGATGAATCCAGGGCTATTGCCCCTTCATGGGGTCCTTAACTCAGCCATTTCTATGCAGTGTCTAGAGGGTCAGACAGTTTTGGGGAGCCAGTCTCTGTGCCCGGACCTGCTGGGATGCAACAGGAGCTACCTCACACTTGGGCTGCTGCAGAGCCACCCGGCAAAACCTGCACTTCCATGATGGGCTGTGCACGCTAAAACCGTGAGCCCAAATAAACCCTTCCTCCCTTAAGCTGTGTCTGTCAGTACATACTCACAGAAGTGAGGAGAGCAACGATAGAGTTACAGTGTCTGGTAACTGGGTATCGTAACTAGGAACTCTTTATTGTTATAGTGAGTTATATTGGTTTGCGTTGCATAGCCTTGGCCTTCCCTGACATATGAATTTATAATACCATCAGACTGGTCATTTGGAAAATAGCGGCTCATTAAATTAGGCAGACCAATCCTGTATCCACACATTTCATGAGGTAATAAAACACACCAATTAATGTCATCACAAGCTTATCAGAAAAGCCTTGCATATTGAGAAACAGACAGTAAATTTTCAAAAATTCTAATAGCTGCTTGATTTTACAAAAGATGTCTTTAGCACCAAACCCTGCTAGTTGCTTTCCTCGAAGACATTGCTTTGCCTATCACTATGGAAAAATGGCTTCTAAATACTTACCTCAAATGAAGATGATTCTGGGGCAGGGAGTAGCTAGTTCAGTTTGCCACTCAAACAACTGCACAACTGCTGTTTCCCAAGGCAACATTCCAATGCTTTATCACGCATCTTATTTTGTCATACGATACTGAAAACAATTAGTAAAGTGACTGCCACTTGCTTTTGCTTCATCACGAACATTCATACATGGAAATGATTTGGTTTTCCAATGTTTCTTCTATGTTTGATTTACTGTGAGCTCCTGGCAATGAGAAACAGGATGATCCCAGGAGGGCTGGCTGCCCATACCGTGGCTGGGTCCTATCCGTGAGGGCCTTTGCACCATCCTAGCAAATACCAGTGTGTTGAAACTCCTTTGAAACTCATGTTTTCCCTGGGAACTAAAAATCCTCCCATATAAAAGACTAAATATTTGTCTTAGGGTTTCTATTGCTGTGAAGAGCTACCATGGCCACGGCAACACTTACAAGGAAAACATTTAACTGGGGTGGCTCGCTTACAGTTTCAGAGGTTCAGTCCATTATCATCATGGCGGGGAGCACGGCAGTGTGCAGGCAGATGTGGTGCTGGAGGAGGAGCTGAGAGTCCCACATCTTGCAGGCAACAGGAAGCCGACTGAGACACTGGGCAGTATCCTGTACATAGGAAACCTCAAACCCTGTTCCCACAGTGGCACACTTCCTCTAACAAGGCCATACTCATTCCACCAAAGCCACACCTCCTGGTAGTGCCACTCCCTAGTATGGGGACCAATTACATTCAAAGTACCACAATGTTTTTCTGAATAGCTTCACAATTTTGTTCTAGGAATCAAACTTTGATAGCGTATGTGAAAGTGGTTGCGTGTGTTTGGGGGCGTGTGTAGAGGACAGCATCAAAGAGTGTCGTCGGTGGCCTTCCACTTTACTTTTCGAGCATGGTCTCTGGCTCACGTCTCTCCATAACTTGACATGGTCAGGCTTAGCCACTCTGATAAGCACATAGTACATATTAAAGTGATTTGAATGCAAAAAGTCCTTAGGCAAACACAAGCCTGGATTAATAGTGCCTCCATTGTATATGCTCTCAGGGTCCGCAGCTCGAATACACTTTCCCATCATCAGTCAGCTGCACTTGCCAAGGATCTGGGCGACATTCTGGATTTCTTTAATACGATTCCAAATTACTCAATAGCAATGATGGGATTATTATTTATTTG